ATTACACTCCTGTTGGTTTACAATAACATCCCAGGGACATATTCATCAGTGATTCACACTCATGGCAGGTGCAAAAATACATCAGCTGGATCTGAGGTTCATTCAAAACACTTCCGACAGTGAAAAGAAAGCATGGCTCTATACTGACGTCGGTTGTAGTGTTTGTCCTCATTAGAGTTTTCAGTGTATAGTGTATGTCAGCAGTGTTTTGTTCAGTGGGGGGAAGTTCAGTAAAGAATAAGCGTACAGAAACCTCCACAGACTCATCAAAAGGAGCTTTTAAAAGCAAACACTATAGTGCTCTGCTTAACTAAGATTGATTTATCTGAAACGGCTTGTGGGGAATAAGCAACTCACAAAATAATTGTTGATAGTGATTCCTTCTCTAAGGCACATTGATACTGTTTCGTCTGAACAAAGGTTGCATGCATGAGACAAATAACCGGAAGTGAAAACAAGTCAGATGGAGCTCAAGGGTTGTACTGCTATTAAAAACAACAAGACTTTATAAGCTCTTTTTCATAATGTGCACCGAATACATTTGTCAGTTCTTTAGTAACATGTTCTGATTCAATCATGCAGAACTTTAAGTGTTTTTAAGCAGTGGTCTTTGTTGTGCCATCGATTTCAACCTCATTAGGCACACAGTGATCAATAAAGGGTTACATGTGTGGGGTTAAACAGCAGCGGGGTGATGACTATCTCTGAGTTTGGTGCTGATAGTATTTAAGGCGCTGACCATGGTGCTGAAGTTTTATGACAATATATCTTTATACTATTTCTGGACCTTATATGGTTTCACAGATTATTTATTTTTCAAATTAAAACACATAGGTTCTTATAATATTGTGTATCTCACATGTACTTGTATATTACCTCCTTAGGGCGTGGGGACACTCTACATGTGTTATCACCAACATAGATATTGTATAATTTGTAGTATAAGTTTCTATAATAGTTGTTTCATGTAGAGAAAATATAAAGCAAATTACGGCAGGTTATGGCGTTTTTTAATCCTAAAATTAATAAACAAAAGCAGGTGTTTGAGTGATGGTGTGATATGCATCACATGTTAATATGTTTGTTCCGTTGTGTGTAAAGCTGCTGGCACTTGACCTCTCAGGCTGATAAATTGTGAGCAATAAAAAGTAAGGAGTATGGATTCTTGACTGCAGAAATATGTTCCTGGGAACCCTGGGTCGCTGAGCTCACATCCCGCACGTCATTCTCCTTACATCAGCACACAGCTTAAATGCCAGCAGCACCGAGCGGTGTAAACACAGCAGGCACACCTTCATAGGGGCGCATCGCGAGATAAACACACTGCTGGAGCCTGAACAGAACAAGCAGTCCAAAGCAATGCACTGCATGCTCCGTCTGAAAGAGAAAACTTCAGGATGTCATGTTACAATTAAGGATTTATTTTGACTTTATTTCCAGAGCAAGTTTTCTAAACAACGTGGAAAGTTAATTTCACTGTACCTCTGTGTAGTGTTGGTTTTAATAATGATCAACGACACACTTGCCTTTGGAGATTTGGACACGAATGTTTCTGCGCCTTTGCCTCCTCTCGCTCTCAGCCACAACCAAAGTGCTTTCCCTGCGCTCCGGCTGGAGTCCAAGTCTCTGGTCACTTCAGCCACCATGTTCGCTGTGGGAGTCCTGGGAAACCTCATCGCCATAGTCGTGCTGTGCATCTCCAAAAAGGAGCAGAAAGAGACCACTTTCTACACTCTGGTGTGCGGGATGGCCATCACGGACCTGCTGGGAACATGCTTCACCAGCCCCGTGGTGATCGCCACATATGTGGCCAACCGCTGGCCGGGAGGAGTGCTACTGTGCCACTTTTTCTCCTTCTCCATGCTCTTCTTCGGCTCTGCCGGGATGTCCATCCTGTGCGCAATGGCTGTGGAGCGATACTTGGCCATAAACCATGCGTATTTCTACTCCCAGCACATAGACCGGACCATGGCGCGCTTTGCACTCCTGGCCGCCTACCTGGCTAACATTGTGCTGTGCATTATGCCCAGCTTTGGCTTCGGACAGCACGTCAGGCACTTTCCCGGGACTTGGTGCTTTCTGGACTGGAGGGCGACGGACTCACTCGGAGCATGCTACTCCTTTCTGTACGGCGGAGTGATGGTGGTGCTGATCGCAGTGACAGTTTTGTGTAATTTGGCCGTGTGCAAATCGCTGGTGGGGATGAACCAGAGGACCTCTTGTGAGCAGAGGGGGTCACGTCGCCGCTTCCCCCGGCTGCCCTCGGTCACCTCGGCCGCGGAGATCCAGATGTTCTGGCTGATGATCTTCATGACCATCGTTTTCCTGGTCTGCTCCATCCCTTTAGTGGTAAGGACAACTTTAATGTTACTTTATTTGACCCTGTATCTTTGTTAAAGTCTTGTTGCATTTAGTTATGCTTTTTATTTGTGTGTGATTAAACCCTTTTTCGAACTATCTTTTATCTGACAGGTGCGGATCTTCGTGAATCAGCTTTACGACCCTGCCTACATCTCTGCTGGGGGGAGGCCTGACTACCGGAGCGACCTGCTTGCCATCCGCTTCGCCTCATTCAACCCCATATTAGACCCCTGGGTGTACATTTTGTGCCGGAAGAACCTGCTGCTGAAGGGCTGCGAGAAGCTAAAGAGGACAGTGTCGCACACTAAAGACATTCGTGGGGACAACATCGGCTGGGTGGGAGGTCAACACTCCCCTGCGTCTCTAAACAGCGATGATACCAGTTACGCGTCATTACGCACAGCCAGCTTCAGGAACGATGTGGAAGCACGTGTGTCCATCAATCATAAATCTTTCACAGACTTCGCCATGAGACAAGCATGGGAGTACGACACCGCCCGGGTCAACTTTCACCCGTTCAGCGTGGAGAGCACGGCGATCCTCGGGTGTGACGAGGAAGAAGCAACCGGCTCCAAACAGGAAGTGGAGGTCAAGGAGTCTTCACGAGGCAGCGCGACTCCGCCCCTTTCTGCGCACGTGAGAAAGGTGGACATTGTCACCTGCACGTTCAGCACACCGAGTTCATGCCAATCAGCGAAATGCCTTTGATGAACACTTGGTAATTCAACTGCCAGCACCAGTGTAATGTTCCTATGTGGGTAGGTGCTTCATGCGCATAGCAAACTTGTTCATTTGAATTCAACTGTGAGAAAAATGATTCTGCCAGTGGAAAAATCCACACAATGAGATCTCTTCTGATAGTTTTAACCACCAAAGAGCCATATGCTCAAATGAATGAAACACTTGAAACAGCACTTGTAACTGCGACTGAAATGATCTCAAGCACTCGATCAAACGTCACTCTCTTGTTATTCCTTCTGCTGCACAGAGCTCTCTAACATTTCAATCCTGGGCTTTATTTAAAGGTTAAGTGATCACTTCAGGATCGGAAAAAAGTATAATAGTTGATGTGCATTTACATCTTCTTCATATCAACTAAAACATGTCTTCAGTCAGAAAAGGTCCAGAAAAACACACTGCCCCAACCTACCACAGCTTTGTTATGTCCACAGTGAAACTGGAGAATATTTCAGGGGCAAGGTGTCACAGATGGGATGGCATTTTTGGGCTTACTATGGTCTATGGGTGCTTACTATTTTAACTTAATCTATAGCTAAACTTTTAGCCGAAAATTATTTACAGTTTTACAAATTCTGCTAAAAGTACACTGCCAATTGTTGCAATTTCCAAATATGGAAATGTAAACAATCTATAATTATACCCTATGGGTAAAAATGTTCTTACACTCTGAGAGTTTTACACACTATTAATCAATATGTGCCATTTGCAATACATGTTTATTCATTATGTATTGTTGTTACACTTGATTTTACTTTTTTGTATCGAAATGCTGCCAATTTACTGCCTGTGTTGCATGATGAAGAGAAAATTGAATGTAGACATTTTCAATCTTGTTTTATATTGCACATAATGTTTTGATATCTGCAAATGTTAACATGTCACCTTTTAAAAACAAATATTGTTGCTGTGAGCTGTATGACCTGTGGTGTTTGCTGGATGTGTTGGTGGGTCTGTGCAGAAATAAAGAAGAAAGCATACTGCCGAGGTCTTCCTCTTCCTCGGTTTTACCATCAATAAATCAGCTGCTCAAATATTCACAGTTGAACAGACAGATGGCAGGAGAGAGACTTACTTCAGGTCTAACTCCAGACAACAGGTTCACATGTTAGACCAGCAGGTGGCTCTACAACATTAAAAAAAAGTCTTAATTTTAACTTAAGAGGTGTTGATCCTGCTGAAAGAAAAATAATTAAGGATGTCATAAGGAGAAAACACTTCTGAAGTCAAGCTGTGCAATCAGTGAAGTAATTACAAGATGTATATTAAAAAAAACTTTATTCCCGTGGAGGATAATGCCATACAAAAATAAAGAAAACTTTATAAAATAATAATAATAATAATAATAATAACAACGTGACATACTGAATGAACTTTAGGATGAGAAATGTTGAGGTCCTGTAGTGTAGATGTTTAACCTGTTTACTGTACATACATTCTACCTGTGCTGTGGAAAAGCTGGTATCATTACCAAAGCTCAAGTATGTGAGGTGCTCTTGAAAAAATATATTTATTAAGTATTCCACATCATTTCAATGTAGGTCAATTTGTTATTTAATAGGATTTGTTTTACTGTCTGGAAAAAAGGTAAAAATCAATCTGAGATTTTTTATCATGGTTCTGTTTTATCCAATGTAATCTTAAAAATAGCAGCATTTAATCAGCTGTCCATGAGGCATTGGATAAATGTGGAGACCCGAAGAAAAAAAATACATAGGCCTACTGCATGCAAGAAGTAGAAGTAGCTGTCAACATGAAATCTGAATCTTGGCAATAAATAGATATGTATCTACAATATAGAGTTAATAAAAACAGCTCTCATATGAAGCTATAATAAATAAATAATTTAACAGAAATAAATATATGTTACTTTTATACAGTAATACAGGAAGATGCATGGCATCCATTTGGCTGAGTTCACCTGAACATAGAAACAAAACAATGTCATGTCCCTGTTTTTATGTGGAGAAAATGATATACCTTTTGGGAGCAGCTGGCTTAACTGGGAGTGATAGTGAACATCAGTCTTTTTTAGTCAGAATATAAACACAGTGTCCTTTAGATGTGTCTTATCTTGATATCTCTCGAGCTTCGGCCTTCAGGTCTCGCCCATAAAAATGTCACATAATGGAGTCTCTTTAATGTGTATTATCTGGAGTATTTCCATTATTTACTCAGTAAAAGTTATTCACTCTTTGAAGACCCAACGATAAATCCAGATGGTGATTCCCTGATGGCAGTTTCTGACCTTCAGTCTTCCCGCCAAAACGATTCCTCCTCAACAGGAAATACACAACAAGTGGCCTCGGTCACTTCCGTGCTCTGTGTGTGTTAAAGCGACCCTTGTTTCTAACTCCTCTGGCTTCAGGATGGGTGACACCCCTCTTCCTCTCCCTCCTTCATGTCTTCAGCCCATACACATGCAGCTGGCGGCTGATAGCGAGTCAATGGTCCTCCACGCTGTCTGGGCGTCCATGAAGGAGACCGTCTCGTACTCGGCCGGCCGGCAGCAGGGGTGTCTGCTGAGCTTGCGAGCGGTGCGCCGGGGCAGAGAGCCGTTCTCCAGCAACCTATCCAGCGCCAGGTCGTAGTTTTTTCTGGAGGCCTTGCAGGAGCCAACGCAAAACTTGAAGAGGACAATCTCATCCGAGTCAAAGCCCAGGCCCAGGTCCCGAACCTTCATCTCTCTCTTCTCCATCCGGCAGTCCCTGCTGCTCTTCTTTGGCTGCTTGCTCTTACCTTTACCCTTCCTATCTGCTTTTCCTGTCTCTTCCTCTTCCTGCTTTTCTTTCCTCTTCCCCTTTTTCTTTTTCTTTGGTGATCCCTTGGGTGGAGGTTCTGAGGGGTCAGAGGAGCGTGGCAAGCGTCCCGCCCAGCGGCTACTGGGATGGTCATCCACCTCATCCATCACGAAGGGGTCTAAAACGGAGAGGAAAAAGGAGACAGGGAGACTTTCAATGAAAGTTAAAACACATGCAAATATCTTCAGCAGGAACATAGGGGAATTTGTTTAAATGGTAATGTGAACTCTAATGCAAATGAAGATTTCATAAAGCATTATAACCGTCCACATTATGTGAGTAAAAATGAAGAGCTATACTCCAATTTGCACATTCTCATATAACAGTCTATGATTAATAAAAAATCTGCAATCTGAAAAGACATGCCGAGTCATAGAGTGGACAATATTAAAATGGTAAATAAAAGTAATACATATTAATTTGATCTGGTTTGCAGTGAAGGAGTGTTTGGCTATAGAGCATTTGAATTCAAATGTAGCTTTGCACTGTTTAGAAAACGAAATGTCACACAGCCTTTCCATTTATACTTGTTATGGTTATAAAAATGTGAATTGGATTATTGCACTTTCATTGTCAATTAAATTAAGCCCTCTTTGGGCTTCCATATCTCTGAAATCTATCATATCCGCCTTTTACCTTAAAATGTCACCCTTTAAATGTCCTGTAAATATATCATGATGACTGAGATAGGAAGCTCATGCCCTCTTTCCATTCCAATACTGTTTGATGAAGCTGTAAATATGACTTTCATAAGGGCCTCAGTACCATATAGAGCGTGCCAAGTAGAGTAGGGGTCAGTGTGGTCTTCCTGCTCCTCGTCCTCCACCACCTCTGGTAGCGTCACGGGAAGCTCTCGCTCCTCCTGGCCTGCCTGCAGCCCCACGCCAGGGCCCGAATCTGATCCAGGACCAGCAGCACCGCCCTTCATATGAGCTCCTTCCACCAGAGGCAGCAGAGAGAGGAGGACCCACAGCAGCACCTACAGGAGAGGGAAGCCATATGTTAGCTGACACAAAGATATTCCAGGGACTCATTGACTTAATCAATGAACAAAAGAGTGAAGAGGACAGAACCAGGACATGGAAAGCAAACCATATTATCTCTTCTGTTATTAAAAAGCTTTCATTCAGTTACCTAAAAATGATAGTTGTTTTATCTGCATTAATTAACTTTTCTGGACACTCTTTGGCAGGGAATAAAGCTCAACATTGAGATTCATTACCTTGAAGTTGACATGGTAAAACGATCCACTGCTTACATGTCCAGCAGACAAAGAGATACATTAGCCTTTCTTTGTCGAACATTAAATATCTGAATATCTCTCCTTTTAATAAAGAGTTTAAGCAGTCCTGGACTCCTGGTAATTGTATTTCTTATAAAACCGGATGTGAACAGAACCAGGCTAGTTGACTCTGTCTTTTCGCTAAGCTAAAAAGCTGCTAACTACCATAACAGTGATATTTAAGTAGATTTTTGATGAGGCATTGCTCTCAGCTATTTCTTGAAAGTTAATATTTACAGAGTGTGTGCAGGTTTGCTTTTGGCTTTGAGCTCTCTTGTTTTTCTTACAAAGAAATCCTGGTCACCACCAGAGACATTGGGTATTTGGTCTTTTGCTTCCATATGCAATATGTACTTAATGAGAAGTTGACAGGGTGCTATATAGATATAAAAACGATAAAGAAAATGAGATGATACGTATGAGAGCACATTACACACACATCCCTTCAAAGCTTCAAGCTACAGCAGTGCTTTGTGTTAAGCCTATTTCATCAAATGGGATCTCACTTACTTTTCACTAATACTTGAGTCAAATAACTCGGCTTCCTTTCTGCACTGGATCACGCTTTGTCCACTGGCTTATCATTTAGCGATGAAAGCTTTGGTGCTGACATGGCTTTATCGAAAGCTCAGTTCTGAGGCTTGTGGGGATGGATTTCATTAACAATTTATATACCTACATAAAACTCATCCACTGGTTTATAGTGGTCTCTACATTGTATATGAAATATGAGAAGGCTATTTGAAGAGACAGTGATTTCATTATAAGGAAGAACGACAAATACAAAGAGTGAGAAAAAGATGGATAGGAGAAGTGACAGAAGATTTTAGGAAGCAGAAGAAGGAGAAGAAGGAGGGGACATCTTTGCTTGTGGCAACGATGTGTCTTTCTGACAAACCTTGGCCTTCTCTGACATTACAGAGGTAATCTCCCGTTTATCCTTCCTCCGAACTCTCCATCTGGTCCCACCTGGAGCGAGGGAGAAAGAGAGGAATGTAAGAACAAGAACAAGCGTCACTCTGTCAACTTTCCTCCTCCCAGAACTCCCTTTGAAAAGTTTAACATAAACTAAAAGGCACAACATGCGGGTAATGTGATGTCTATGGATTCACAATTGTCCAGATACTGTAAAAAAAATAAAAACAGCGCTGTGGGCCCCTGAGAAAGCCGACATGTCACATAAATCACGTCCTCAATGCACGACGACGGCTTGTTTATTGCTGTTTCGGTAAAAGACCAGTGTTTGCTGCCAGCTAGCGTGGCTAGTGTTGGCTTGTCGGTTTCATACATCCATGCAAACAGCCCTGGCAACAAAAGGCAACATCTGCGATACACTTGTCAAAGGCATTCTTCAGGGTTAGTTCTGTGGCAGCAGAGGTACAAGCAGGGGGAACCAGGCATAGCGGGAGCACTTCGCGGAGGTCCCATACAAAAGACCCACAGAGATGCAGGACAGGTGATAAGAGGTATCACGGATGCAGATGTTTATATATGGTACGTGCAGTGTGGAGGATTGTGCTGGCTGCAGAGCAACCACACATCCCGTAACATGAGGTCATCAGGTTGTTTCATGCCCCCCCACCCCTCAGTAAAGCTCAGCGGAGGTAAGGGCATACCTTGAAACCAGAGAGGTAATTTAAAATAATTTATCTTGCATCCGAAAAGGTATACCGAGATCACTAAAGTAATTAGGAAACATGCCCTGGAAACAATGAACACCTGTGGGAAATTACATGGCAACCCGTCCAATGGTTGTTAAGATATTTTGTTCTGGACCAAAGTGATTGATCGACCTACAGACACTGCCATCTTCAAGAATCATTAAAGGGGCCCTATTGTGCTCATTTTCCGGTTTCATATTTGTTATTTGTGCCTCTACTGTGGCATGTTAACCTGCTTTAATGTTCAAAAAGCTCTTTATTTTTCTCCTATTGCCTGTGCTGCAGCACCTCTTTTCACCCTCTGTCTGAAACCAGAGCCCAGTCTCCTCTGATTGGTTAGCTGGCTGATTCCATCTGGAACTTTGTAATTGTAGTCTTTGCCGACCATTTACATCACAAAAACCTATAGAACACACTTCAGAAAAGCACAAGATGGCCTCTTTAAGTCCAGAGGTTCTCGTCCCCTTTTGGCTGGTGACCCATTAAATAAAGGGATGTTTACTTCTCTTTTTTCCCACCCATTTCACTTTTAGAGGTTTGTTAAGGCGAGATGGCCAGCTTAAGGAAAATATACATTTTGAAAAGAGTTTAAAAAGAAAATTGTGCAGTTTAAAAAAATACATTCTTCCTATAATAACTGCCCCTCCTTGCTTGGATGCCTACTGCAGTGGTTGACTGAAAAAATTCAGAAAACCGATATAAATATCCATCACAATTTATGTAGAGCTCAATTGAACCTTTTCAAATTGCATGATTTGCCCAAATATTGGTTTTAAAAAGCGTTTTATGCATTTAAGAATTAGTAATTAAGTCATTGTTTATAAAGGAAAATTCCTTGCGTAAAGTACAAGTCTTTAAAAAGGATTTTAAATCAGATGTTTGTTTGCTGACTTGCCTCCTTTACTCCAGTTTCACATCTCTTAATACTGTACTCTTGTTTAGATAAATGCTGTACAAAGTTAGCGTTTGCTTGCTAATCAACTTATCAACATGTCTGATCTGTTCAAACTAACAACCAATTTCTGAAACAGACCTCCGCCTACAGACACCTCCAACATCTTTGAAACCACATCTTTCATCTCTCACATGCTTTGAATAATCTCTGCGCTGAACGTACTCAAGCGTGTATTCTTTAAGATCTGGCCGATACGTGGTGTGCTTTGTTTATATAGTCAAAAACAATCCCAGTGGTTGTGTCTGAGCAACAAGATGGAAACCTGACAAAAGGTTACAGATCAGAGGTCAGGATAAGACCTGTTGATGCATTTTTACAATCCTGCTTGTTCCAGCTGAAGAGAAGCAGTCGAAGGAGAGCAGAGATAGACGCTGAGGGGTGGGAGAGGGAAAGAGAGGACAAGGGGGAGCATAAATCAGCCTCACAGACAGAGAACACGCCACTGCTGCAACCTAAAACCAAACTGCTTCACCAAACCTCCATCTCCTCTTGTCTCTGTGCTGATTTAAAGATCTCCTATCATGCTATTTTTAGACATATATTTTATAGGTCTCAGGTATATCAAATTATATTAAAAACATGTCGATAAGGTGTTTTTGCTCAAAATACCAAACATACAGTATCACTCATTAGCCATGCCTCATACCCCTCTTTTTCATCCTTGTTAGAGAAGTGCTGATTCTGGGTCCTTAGTTTAAAAAATAGAAAAGACGGGGGGCGCTAATGCCTGCTCAGAATGCTACTGAGAGATTCTCAGCTAAATGCGGTGATGAAAAACCATATCATGTTCCAAACCACATCAAGGATTATTTCTGAAACAGTACAGAGCTCAAATGCTTTTTCTCTCAAGGGGTTACTACAAGATGAGTTCCTTTTTATATCCTGCTTTTTTACACATAGGCTACTCTCTCTAGTAGGCTACAGCTTAGCTCTGAGTGTTAGCGATGCTTGCTAATGTAAACAAAGACCATATTACTTCCAAAACACGTTGGGCATTGTTTCTGATAGCAACATGCCGTGGGTCCATATTTCCGATATTACGTCATATCGGCAGCAAATCTGGATCAGCTCTGTTGTACCCCCATTTTTTTTGAGATTTGGGTACGGAGGAAAAGAGAGAGGGGTTTTTTTTCTGACCCTTTGTGAGTTCCCTCACACCTCGGGGACACATATTTATGTATAAAAGACATCAAAAAGTGCATTTTGCATGATAGGAGACCTTTGAAACGGTGTGAGGCAGGACAGAGGAATACAGATCCTCTCTGCGTCTGCAGAGTCCCTCACACAGCTGGGAGTGTTTAGTTGCTTTTAGCCCGGCGCGCTGGGAGTCTACACGCCTGTTTGCTGGTTCATTTCACTCTGGCACTTCAACCCGACGCCTCAAGCCTTTTCTCTGGGATGAGGTGGGTGGGGGAGTCCAGGGTTGCAGGACACCGGTCGTGTAAAGAGTGCCACGAGCCTATAGTGTTTGCACATAGCCCCGACAGCGTGCATGTTTAGAAAGCCCAGCATGTGTTTCTTCCTTGTTTGGCTGATTAAAGCCTTTGGTTTGTCCATCAGGCTGGAGGTCTGCGGTGGGGAGAGCGGAGTTCTTGTCACCTTTAATTTGCATTGTTGCTCCTCTGCGCCCCAGTTGTTCTTCACAGTTAGTTAAGTGGGAAAGCCCTCCTGAAGCAAGTATAACCCATAAAGCCAGAGCCAGCTTCTATTTGCAGAGCTTCTTCTGTTTCTCTGGATTGCTTTTACAAATACAGTTTAAGTGCTTGGAGAGGAATGATGAGGATTTAGTGTGGGGGGATATTTATGAGGTGAAAGAAAAGGATATCAGCTTTAAAGCAAAGGCTGCCAGCATAAAGGTTTACATCAGTTTACTGAATGTCATAAACACAAAGCAGCAGTATGCATTAAAGCAGGATTTTTGGAAGAGATGTAATTCATCAACGCCCGCTGTTAGACCTTCATCTTACAGCCATCCTTTAATATCAACCTTACACAGTAAATAGGTATTTTAACCAATCTTTTACTAAATAGAATGTGAAGTTTATGCTATACTGGTCTGTTGACAGAGAGCGCTAACAAAGTGTAACACTGCATGTATGGAGCGGTGGTCATTCTAATCCACAAGGGGAACAAAACATTGAGTAAAAGCTGAAGACACAGAAAAATCCAAGGTACTCCAGCTAGAAAAGGGTAGCTTGTGGATGTTTTCAGTAGTTCAAAATAGCTTTGTGATGCTCAAGTGTCTTAGTAACTCAGATTTTTAGCCCACATATAATTTAATTATAACTTTGCACTCAACTAAGTATAACTTATAACTAAGAAAACTAGCCTTTCTTATCAGAATAGAAGCAACTACCATCTCTCCAGCCTCTGGGTCCAGGAATAATCACATAATTGTTGTTTTTTAGCTCATATTTAAATGCATTTTGATTTAAGATGAATGTGTTAAACTTGCTCATTATTTCAAACCGTCAACAATGAAAAATACTTGCTTTATGATTGTCCATACATAGATCTAAAAGTCTGTGCCTACGTTTTATAATCAGCCTTGAATGCATCAAATGATACTTCTTATGTATCTGTTGCACATTTCCAAACACTTCTTCTCAACCTCACTGTGACTGCTCTGACTTTGCAAGGCTGTAATTAATGCAATAACTCTATGTATATTACTATCAAAGATGTAGTTCATATTTTGTTGTATTTATTACTGGTATTTCCAACAGAAACCGATCTTTGCAGAGCGACATTATAAATGTGTTTCTGATTAGTGATCTCGATGTCTACTGTATACAATTACACCCTCGGAGCTGAGCTTTGCCCACACAGATCCCACAAACCTCTCACCTTGTAAAAAAGAGAAAAAAAAGTCAGCTCCAAGCTCTCCGGTGTTTCGCCTCCCTCTAAAAGCCAAACTTTTCTGATAATGACCTCCAATTACAGACGCGCTCTGTTCTCTGCAGTGAGCGCGTCCACGTACGTGAACAGATCTGACCTCCAGCTTCAACCTGTCACTACCGCGGTGCCTGATTGCGGCAGCGAGGAGAAAAACAAGAGTACAGTAAATCACCTCTGGCTCAATAAAAGACACCTGCAGTGTAAGAGGAGATGCAGGAGAGAGAGGCAGAACACCAGGAGAGCCGCCTGATCACTGCCAGACTATGAGAAACCTGCGGAGGTCCCACCAAACGTGATGATAACTTCTGTACTTACATGTGCCCCAAAGCTCTGCATATCTGCATCCAGAGCAGTGAGTGAAACTAGTTGTGTTGCTTTGATTTAGCTGTTAGCGTTTTATTGACAGACTTCTTAGAAATACGCCATACAAGAGGCTTCAGATGCCAAGTCCTTAA